ATTTAATAAGTTAATAAACTATTTTTTAAATTTTTTATAATGTTATTAAAAATTTTATCAATTATTTTAAATTATTAAGTAGATTTATATTTAATATATTATTAAAATATTTTTAAAAATTATTTATATAAATAAAAAATAGTCACTAATTTATATATTATTTGTTTAGTGACTGAAATTTTAGTCACTAAATCAGTCACTATATATAAAAAGAGAAATCGATCACCGATTCGATTACTTATTAGTAATCGAATTTTTCGATCACTAATTTCAATCACTATTAACCATTTTTCTAGTAGTGACCGAATCAGTGACTGATTTTGTGACCGAATCAGTGACCGATTTTCGTGACTGAAATTTTAGTCACTAAATCAGTCACTAAATATAAAACGGAAATCGGTCACTGATTCAGTTACTATCAGTGACTGAATTTTTCGGTTACTAATTTCGGTCACTATTAACCATTTTTCTAGTAGTGTTCATTTCTAAAGAACCGTTATCTCTCTAAATTATAAATCCTCTAACTTCTCTTTAAAAAACTTTTTACCAAATTCTTATATTTTTCTATATCAATGTACATCATTGTGCTCCTAGGGGTGAGGGAAACATTTCTATTTGATCCTAATCTTAAACAAAGTAAGTTTTTCTTTCCCCAATTTTAGAGTACTTTTACAAATTTGGGCTAAGGTTTGCATGTGAGTCTTTGAGTCTTGCATGTGACCTTGGTGGGATAAAGATGAATCTTGACTAGTTTAAAAACATTGTGATAGGTTTGATTTGTTAATTGAGATTTTCTGTGAGCAGGATCTAGCTCCTTAAGAAATTGGGGATTTGGAACTTTCAAGCTTAAGAGTACTGAAATTGGAAGGTAAGAGAAGTTAATTATTCTTCAATTTCCATAATACTATAGGCTAAAAGATCTAGATTGTGAAAGTGACTTGGTTACATTATTTGAGTTTCAGGAAATTGGGTTATGTGATTATGTATGTGTTGATTGTATTAAATATGAATGTAAAATTTATTTCAATGAGATTGAAAATGATACTTTTGTATGATATATTTCTCTTAGATTAAATTTAGTTAATTGACTTTTAGTGAATTGATTTACAATATAGAGTGTAAGGTTTATATTTATTTTGATTTAAAATATTAGAAATAGGGTATTGAGCAGATTATGCAATCTGTTACTATGATGAATTCGTTTAGTGGATCTAAATTCGCTCAGCGAATTTATGTAACAACCCTAAAACTATGCATACCATATATATATATATATATATATATATATATATATATATATATAATTAAAATGCACGAGTAATTCAAAATATAAATTTCTTCACGCACAGGAAAATATATACATACATATATACCACCTCAAAAGCAAAACAAAACATAAAATGCATATTACTCCTAGCTCCTACTCTTGTTGAGGTCTACCACCTGCAATATCTGCTCCCATGTAAACACACACTTATCACAATTCAAAGCAGCATACAAAATATACAGGATAAACTAATAATTCAATTTAAGTATACAAATTCAAATAAGAGATAAAACAACATACTTCACCCTAACTTTTCATATATCACATAACGTTCATAAAGGTTCACATTCACGTCACACAAACACTAGACAACTTCTAGAAGATTAGTTATTGAAATAGACATCAAAGATCTGCACTTGTCATACCACACTTGCATGTGACCAGGGTACATTTCTAAATGACTTATTAAGACACAGTTTTTTTCACACAGTAGGTTATGTCATTAGAAACCTCCTTCAACTCTTACCCTTTGATGCTTTCATCTATGTGATTTCAGTGATCAGTAGAGTCAGGATATTTCCTCGAGTCCCAAATCAATATCTATACATACAACGCTATACACATATGGATACCCCTTGGTAATTCTCATATCACAACACAATATTTTTCAAGGCACATAATAAAATTCAACACATCTCATTTCATGTTCATAACATGTATCTTAATATCTTAAGGCATATACATATCATTTCTCACATTATAATAAAATACATTTTTTTCTAATTTGACATTTTCCTATTTTTTTATCATAACTTTTTTTGTAGACATCCCTTTTAACTAAATTTTATTTTATTTCGGGGGTTTCGATTTGCATATATGGAACATTAAATTTGGAGTTTCAAGCTATTTTTTATGGCTTTTTGAAAACTACTAAGCAAATCTGAAAGTGTTGAGCGAATTTCAAATTCGTAGAGCAAAATTTTAATAGAATGGACCCTCAAGCACTGCCCAAAATCTGCTGGTGAATCTTAAAATATTAAGTGAAATTCAAGTGCTTTTAACATTGTCTTAAATTTATTGAGCAAATTTAGATCCTCAGAGTGGATTCATGACAGTAGAAAACTGCATAATTTACTCAATACCCTGTTTTTAATGTTCCAAATAAAATTAAATTTAAACTTTACCCTCCATATTGTAAATCAATTCACTAAATTCAATCTAAGTACAATACATTCATACAAAAGACTATCTTTTTCAATCTCATGTAAATCAATTATACATTCACATTCAATATAATCATCACAAATAAACACATATATAATCACACAACCCAAATTTCTGAAACTCAAACAATGTGACCAAGTCACCTTCACAATCCAGATCTTTTAGCCTAGAGTACTTTGAAAGTTGAAGAATAACTAATTTCCCTTCCCTCAGTACAATGCCTCCCAGTTAAAGAGCCCAAAAAACTCCTAAACTTTTAGGAAGATAGATTCTGCTCACAAAAAACTCAAATTAATAAATTGAGCATATCATAATGTTCCTAAATTAGTCAAGATTTATATTTTCACAACAAAATTTTATATGTAAACCCTTTAGAACCCACATGTAGTCCTAAACCCAAAATATGCAAAAATAATCTACAATTAGAAAAGGAGAAACTTACTTTATTCAAAATTTTGATCGTGTAGAAATAATCTCCTCTCCTTCAGGAGCATTAAGGTGTGTTTGGATCTAGAAAAAGATGAGAGAGGGAGCAAGAGATTTAAAGAGAAGGCAAAGAAAAGAGAGTCGTAGAGAGATGGTGGTTTTGTGAGAATGAAATTTGAATGTTTAAACTTTTTTTTTATAATTCTTTTTAGCTTAAACGGTAAAACTTTAAACTTAATAATCTCATTATACCACTTCTACTCTTAACCCACTTAAACTAGGTCCTCACAATTTAAGGGAGTGTTGAAAGCGTTTGAAATTCGCTCAGCACTTCCAGATTCACTAGTGGATTTTGGACAGTATTTGAGGTTCTATTATGTCAAAATGTTGCTCAACAGATTTGAAATCCGCTTAGCACTTTCAAATTTGCTTAGCTATTTCCTAAAAATCATAAAAAATATCTCAAAACTCCTAAATTAACTTTTCATATATGAAAATTTAAGCCCTAGAAATAAGGAATCCAATGAAATAGGAATTATCCAAAAAGAAATTGTAGAAAAATATTTTACCAAAAGAATAGAAATAGGTCAAATTTCACAAACTTACTCTTTGCTTAAATGTGAGAAATGATATATACATGACTTCATATAATAAAATGCATGTATTGAACATGAAATAATGTGTGTTAGGTGCTAATATATGTATAGAAAAACATATTGTAATATGTAAAATATCATGTTATACCCTTATATGTATGTTATATTTGTGATGAATTAATAAAAGTTAACATAGTAGTTTTAAAATAAGAAATACTATGTTGAGAGATGTAGGTAATGTATTGAACTTAAGATTTTGAAAGAGATATCCTAACTCTACTGATATTGGACTCACGTAGAGAAAAGTATTAGGTGGTAAGAGTTGAAGAAAGTCTCTATGACTTTGCTTGAGGTATGAAAAATAATTGTATCTAATAAGTTATAGGAATTTACCTTGTCACATGAGAGAACATATTCCAATTATATACCTATATTGGAGATATCCACTTAGGGAAGATAGTGTGATAGATGCAAATCTCTAAGTCTAAATTCAACGCGTGAGAGTCTTCCAAAAGTAGAGTCAAGTATTTATGATTGATTGTATAGTTGTAATGCTTGATTTATTTATTTAGACATGAATATTCATAATATTTTGTGATAATCATATGAATAAAAAATTTATCATTAACTTACCCTAATTTCATGTTTCAATTATTTTGTTTAAAAATATGTATAGGAAACTTAATGTAATGTGATAGTGCTTATTGTGAAATACTTAGACATGTGATATAGATAACTAGATTAATTTGTCTAAAGTATTTTTAAATCTTATGTTTTAATGTAATGCTACTGGAGATGCTACATTAATTTAATTATTTTAAAAATTAATTAAAATTATTTAAAATACATAAAAAATATTTTTGTTATATTATTAATTTTTATTTATAAATTAATAATAAATATTCTAATATAATTTTAATTTAATTTTCATAATAAATAATTAAATAAAAATTTATTATTTACAAAAAATTTTACAAGTAATAATTTTTATTTTTCATTACACTTAAGCTTATTTTAATAATATAATATTTAACTTTAAAAATTATCTATTAAATATATCATGAAATATTATTTTAATTATTTTTGAGAGATAAAATAAATATTTTTTAAGATATTTTTTATATTTAACTAAGATCATTATTTTAAAACTGATGTTGTAAAATATTAATTTTTTTTCTATATTTAATTTTTTTTTCTTTTAAAATAATTACAGGTAACTACCTAAGTTATTTTATTAATATTTTCACGGACGGTATCGTGATCCTAACTGGGACATTATTGGTAGAAAAGAGTAATAGGAGAATAAATTAATTAAGGCTGGGGCAAAAACATGATATAAATATCTCGTTGATAAGCAGAGGATTGCCCTAATATTAAGCATCTCACAAGCGTCACTGTGCACAAACTTTTTATTCCTCAAATTACATCCACCGTTCATAATTTATTGTGCACAAAATTACACCCAATGAAACTCCCTGCATCTAGAATCATTCAAAGAGATACACTTGATCATACCCTTTCCTGCAAGGTGCCAAAGAAACTCTGTAAGAACTTTATGTGATGTGCAAGACAATGGATAACACTGTGACAAGATAAACCTACCCAGCAGTTCCACCATAAGTGGGTTGATAGTTGTAAATGAGATTGTCTCGCACTTCTTGAGCATAAGGTCTGTTTGAGGATTTCCTTGCTTCACTGTTCCCAAATTCATCAAGGTCATCCACATGTTAACCATTCATAAGTGCATGTTCAAACATAATAACCAAAACCAATAGTACAAAATAACAAAATCATATACTATAATAACTAAACTAACAAAAATAATAATAATGTTAATGATTTTATCTTATTGGTGTAGATATTATTATTATAAATATAAGATACATATGTATTAAATAGTATTATTTATTCTTCAACAGGTACGCAGTTAGGGCTGAGCCTCCTCCCACTGCTTGGGAGCTTACGGTTTCATGTTCTATTTCACTCCCTAATGGGGTTCTTTTCACCCTTCCCTCACGGTACTACTTCACTATCGGTTACCAGGAGTATTTAGTCTTGCAAGGTGGTCCTTGCTGATTCACACGGGATTCCACGTGCCCCATGCTACTCGGGTCAGAGCGTAAGCTAGTGATGCTTTTGGCTACTGGACTCTCGCCATCTAGGGTGCAGTATTCTCTACTGCTTCGCCTAGCAGCACAACACTTGTATAACTCTGCCACAACTCCGTTTTCACGGTTTAGGCTGCTCCCATTTCGCTCGCCGCTATTACGGGAATCGCTTTTGCTTTCTTTTCCTATGACTACTAAGATGTTTCCGTTCACATGTTGTCTCTTAGTATTATTCATCGTATTTATTTTGTCTGCGATAATATTATTAAAGTGATAAAAGACTTATTAATTTACTAAAACATAATCTCCTAATTAGAAATTAAAGGGTAAAAGTGAAGCAAAATTTTATCTTTAGTCTCATGATAGATATTAATATTCTGTTAAGAATGAGATTGTGTAGGTTTCCTATTCACTTTGATAATATTTGTATATTTAATTAGCTAAGATATTCGTTCTCGATTTCTAGATAATGTAAAACCCATCCGCCTAACAAAATATAATCTTCTAGTTAAAAACTAAGGGTAAGATTAGAACAAGATTATCCAATATTTCATCTAAAAATGACAGTAATATTCTCTATAGGAATAAAAATATTATAAACGCATATTTATTATGATAATATTATTAAGATTGATTATCATATTCAATGTATTATTTATTTTAAAACTCGAATATATCACATATTCTTAAAAAATATATCAACAAATTAAAAATATATATATATATATATATATATAAATTATTTTTTATCTCAATTTTTATAATAGACTCATAAATATTTAAAATAATATTATTTATTTTTGTATAGAACGATGGACTATCTACATTAATATATGAATCTAAAATCTCATATCATAACCAAAGTTCTTATTATTAGACAAATTATAATAAATTATTTTTCAAGTTATTATCAAAATTGGTTTTTAAACTCTTAAATATCATTCAAATTAAAACTAATCATTTATTTGAAACAAAATAACAAAAGTTACAAGAAAAAAAATATCACATAATTACTTCAACTTATAACATAAGAAATAATGACAAATTCTTAATAGTTTCGTAATCCTTATATAATTTATAATTTTAGTATTTTTAAATTTAATAATTATTTAATATATATATATATATATATATATTTATGATTTTTTTCTCTCATTTTTTTAGTTTTTTTTTATATTTTTATATTTATTTATTATTTATTATTAATATATTATTCAAAAAAGAAAATCAAACCTCACAAAAAAGTTTGCACTGGACTGAGTAACCCGAATTGCATTCTCTGTACGAGGGGCTTTCAAAGAGGTGCCCCATTCAAACGCATTTTTCTGCAACATTTTTTAAAGAAAAAAAAGGTGCAATATGATTAAAATATAAATTTTGTTAAAATATGAAATTGAGAATCAACTAATCAAAAAATGATGTTTACCATTTAAAGCAAAATTTATAAATTACCTCTGGTTGCCATAGGTTAACAGTGACAGGATAGTTCTTACCACGTGCCGTGGAAACGAAAATCTAAAAAACAATTAATGATAACGTCAGAAACTTTAACCAAAATATAATGACAAAATTAGAATATGAAAAAAATAAGGTTTAAAATGAAGAGAAGACAACATTAATACCTTGTCATCTCTATCATTAGATGTTGCCAAAATTTCAAAAAAGTTTGATAACTTGCGATTATATTGAAGCTTGCGTGGGGTTATGGCATACTGTCATGTAAAAAAAACAAAACATATTAAAATTACATCATTGAATTTGAAAAAAAATAATAATAAAATTAAGGAATTGTTAAGGAAATAAAAATAAAAACTCACTTTATGATTGTGCAAGACAAGACAATCTGTGCTCAGCTGTGTCAACAAATCTAGAGGAAATCTAGAAAAGAAAAAAAAATTGTTAACTTTCATCTTCCATTCTTGCAAATAAAAATAACATATCAATGAATTTACTGAAAAAAATGTGAAAAATGAACTTCAATATTAAAATTTCTATGGTAATTCATGTACGTTGAATATGGTTTAGTGCAAAGGTTATCAAAAATTTGTAGGTACACAAAAGTATCTTAAGATAAAATAATACATTATTAATAAATAATAAATATATATAAAAAGATAAAATATAAAAAAATAAAATTATAAATATATAAATAAATATATTAAATTATTATTAAAATATTAAATTATATAAAAATTATAAAAAATTTAAATTATAAATATATAAATAAATATATTAAATAATCGTTGAATTTGTGATTAAGACTCTCTAATATAAGAATTTAAGTTAACAAATCTTATAAAAGTGAAAACATTTTATCTTCACAAAACGTTCTTCAAAGATCGAAAATATATAATGTAGATAATTTACCTTTGATATAAACTTCCTTCATCATTTGCACTCTTCCACAATTGAAGAGAACTTGGCAAACTTGATGCATTAAATGTTTCAAGAACATCAGCTTGCTGTTTTAAAGGAAAACTCAAAACATTAATACAAGACACGACTAATTTTAAAATATAAAAATATGATATTAATCGAATTGAAATTAATTTTGATTAGGTTAATGATGGGTTAATCATTTCACAACCCTAATAATAGATGAGAATGAAGATAACTTACATCAGCAACTATCTTTATTAGCAAGTTTCCACCTAAGTTCAGGCCAAGAACTGGAAAATGGTCTCCACCATCATTTTTCTCCAAAGCTGTCTGCACACCCAAATAAAATTCAATAAATAATTTTTAAATTGAACAAATCATAAGATATTAAAACACAAATAAAATCAAATAAAAAAGTTAGTTGAAAAAAATATAAAAACCTAAAAGAAAAAAAATCAATTTTCATCCTTTAATTTTTGTTTTCTTTAGTTTCCATCACAAGTTAATTTAAAAAAAAATATGGATATAATTTTTTTAGCAACTATAAATTCTCAATAAGGCTACAAAGCAAAAGGTGTCATCTTTTAGCTTTAAAATATAAATCCAAAATCTAAAGATTTAAATACGAAATTATAAATCAATATTAATTAGTATGTTGGATATTTTTGAGGAAATTATAACATCATATATTCTTACAAATAGATGATAAGAATATAATATTATTTTTTATCTAAAAACTTAAAATATTAGATTATAAATAAGTTAGAAAATTTTTCTATTTATATCAAATAGGACTTCAAATTTGGATTTTCAACATAATACACACCGCATAGTTAGAAAAATATAAGAATGTACCTGGAAAACGAATTCAAGAGCTTCGAGATAAGGACCAGATGTAGCCCACCCACCAGTGAAGAGCACTCCATTCACCAAATCAAGTTTCTGGAATAAATGAAACCAAAAACAGAAGTTAAGCATCACAGAGCTATATTTCTTCCCCTCTGAAATTATTTAGCTTCTAAGATCTCAGCTTTATTGTTCACTCCAGAGATATATAAAAAGCAAAGTTCAAACTCTTTTTAATGGCCAACAAATTTTGAAGAAAATACTTCAGATCTGGTTTCAACTCTACAATTCTAACCGAGCAGGACTGCAGTTTGCTGTTTTCTAAAATTTAGATTTTATTCCAAGCAAATTAAAAAAAAAAAAATCAGACTGAAAAAATGGAACAGGATGTAACGGAACGAGTTAAATGGTTGACAAATATATTTTTTTAAAGGAAAAAATATATATATATATAAAAAATATATATATATATATATATATATATATATTATTTGTATTAATGTGACTAAGACATTAGTATAAATATAGATTAACACGGTATTAGTAATTAAGATAACAATATTACCAATGAAAATAATAATATTATTAACTATAAAAATGTGAAAATTAAGATTAAAAATAATAGTAAAAGAAAACAAGTAAAAAATAGTAAGATGAAAACAATTAATTATCTATAATTTTAATTATAATTTTCTGTGTTAACAACTAATATTTTTAAAATTATACAAGTAAAAGTATGAATTCAAAATTTAAAAATTAAATTGATATTGAATTAAATGTAAACAAATTTAATAAAATAATATCTTTATAATATAATAATATAAAAAGTTTGTTAGTAATAATAATATTTTTATAAAGAAAATAAAAACAATTATATTAATAATAAATATTATTATTATAATTACTTTAAATTATAATAAAAATTAAAAATATATAATATAATAAAAATGATAATAGAAAAAATAAATAAAATAATTATTATTTAAAAGTTTACTGAGATAAATTTTTTAAAAAAATATTATATATTTATAAAATGATTATTTATAATTTTTAGTTAAATGTAATCACTCCAAAAAATTCAATCAATTTTTTTTATGATACTTCCACACCTTTTTAATTACATTTCATTCGTGGCTCATTCAAGGAAAAAAAAAAAAAAAAAAACACGAATTACCTTGGTAAGTTTCTGCGGTGACTCATTGTAGAAAAGAGGAATAACTCTGGCACCACCGGACTCCACGAATTTCACATAGGAGGCGGGGATATTTGAAACGCCGGTGACATTGCTAAGGCGCCCGGAGGCCCCGTCGCCCGGGTGCGACAGTATTCCAATCACCGGGCGGTAGTAAAGATTTGGGTCGGTTGCAGTGCAACTCGAGGACGAACTCACTGAGTCCTCCTCATGCAGCTGACTCGGTAGAAAGATGTGTTCATCTTCGGCATTAGCAGCGACAAGGAGGGTGATGAAGAAGAAGAGACTGAAAATGCTGTCGTTTGACATGGTGGAGAAGGAAGTGAGGTTTGAGCTTGAAGTAAAACGGGGAAGGAGCGCAGTTATTTATGGTTGTAATTGGCACGTGCGAGTTTGGATATTCAATTAGTTAATTTTTTACACTCTATTATAATTGATTTTTCTATCCCATAAAATTCGAAGCTGTTATATAAAAAATATATATTATAAAAATTAATAATAATAACAATAATAAATTTATTCTTCTTCATAACAGCAAGACTCGTGATAGCTTTAATGATACTGACGACAAGACTCATAAATGAGTGTTGGAGTTTTATTTTATTTTTTTCAAATAAAAAAGTTTCATTTCTAATTTTCGTATACTAATGAATTTATTTGTTAAAGATAACTTTTATTTAAACTAGATAAACATTTCATGGATGTTAAATTTTTTATTTTTTCATTTTTAATATTATTATTATATTTTTTTAAATTAAACATAAAATTATTAATTAAATTTAAATAAGTTGAGTTTCTAGATTGTCTATAAGGAGTATTTTTAGTAATATATCTCGTTACGATATTTTATATTCATTTTTTTATAAATCCTCCATGTTATGTAAAATATAATTTTTAAAAATGTTTGTTCTAGTAATATATTTTATTTTAATATTATAAGTATTTTTTTTAAGATTAGGGCATTGACTTTAAAAAAATAATTCTTTTTAATTATTTTACATATTTTGATTTTTTTTAAAGAACTCAATATTCATTATTAAAACATTTATTCAAGTTTTAACAATAAAAATGTCCTAAAAATTTTACTTTTATTAAATGCATGAACAAATTAGTATGTATACCTCCGTTTTTTATTTTTAATTACTTTTATTTCATTTAATAATACTTTATTGTATATGTTTTAATTTTAATTAATGGCTAACTTTAGGAACATATGTGTTACTATATATATATATATATATATATATATATATATATATATATATATATATATATATATATATATATATATTGTAGTAATTAAACAAAAAGTGTGCCAAATCTATATTTTGTGTAGTTATTATAAAATTAATTATTTATATTCTACAAATTAGAGTTTAAAAAATTTACCAATAACATAAAAAAAATGTGTATTGTTTTCACGTTTCCTATTATCAATGTAATTATTCTAACATATGCGAAATTATGTACTAGGGTAAAAAGCTTATACAAAGTTATTGCATTATAGTTTGTTATATGTGTAACTCTTCACTAACGAATACTTAAAAATTATATTACTAAAAGTTTGTTATTGCATTAATCTCTAAAAATAATAATATAACTTTTAAAGTAATAAGACTTCATTTTTTTCTCGATTTTTTCCAACATCCTTCTTTATTAGAAAACTTGTAAAAAAATTTAATTGTTAACTCTTTTTCTATACTAAATTAGACTCTCTTAATTATTTTAAAATAAATTTCTTTGTAAAAATATTTATCTTAAATGTTAAAAAAAATTATATACTATATATTTTACTTTGTTATATAAAGTCAATAATAATTTTATTGTTCATACAATTCATAATAAATAAATAAATTTGCGTGAAAAAGGATTGCACTCTCATTTAAATTTGTTATAATATACTATAATGGACCATCATAGTGTCACATTGATTATAATGGTCACATTTTATTTTATTAATGATAAATTTATTCTTAAAATGGTTAGACAGAGTATGATTATTTTAATTTAAACCTCAAATTTAAATAAATAAATTATTTTTTTAAAAGTAATATTATATTTTTAAGGAGATATTTATATATAATTATTAAAATATAAAGATGAATCTTGATAAATTTAGAAATAACGTGATAAGTTTAATTTGTTAATTGAGAATTTTTTTAAATATGATTTGATTTCCACCAAAAGGAGCTTTGGAGTATGACTCAATTTTATAAGGAAAGCTAATATTTAATTTCTTAACACCTTTGCGTGGATGAATTAGATTATGATAGTGACCTGATTATAATAATTGCGTTGTAGGATTTTGATTATTGATATGGTACTATGAATTGTGATTAAATAATTTAATTTAGAATAATGATATGTTAAACGACTTGTGTGGAATATTAGGGCTCAAACAAAATATAAAAGGGATAAGGACTATTCTCGATAGCATTTTTGCTTAAATAAGAAAAAAAAATTCTTAAGTAAAGATACTTATAGAGGTGAGAGACTTATCTTAATCTTATTTTGGCTCAAAGCGAGAATATCTTACATAAGTGAAAAACTCTTAATGGAGTGAAAAGTAATTTTGTTGCAGTTTTGTTCAAATAAAAGAATCTTCGCTCAAGGGAAATGATGTCTTGTCTAAGCTTAAAATGACTCGTCATATGAGAATCATATGTTATAAATATGAAATGAAATGTGTTGAGTATTATTATGTGTATTATAGATATTGTTTTGTAATATAGAAAATACCAAAAGATATTCTCATATATATAGTGTAATGTGTATGAATATCAGTGGCAGATCTTCTTGGAACTGAGGGGGGCCATGACCTCCCAATGTTTTGTAACTCCCATATAATTTATGATTTTGGTCCCCTCCAAACTTTAATATATTTACTTGTATATTTACAATTTTATCCTCTCAGCCTCTTCTCAGTTTTGTAACTCTCATAATTTATTATTTTGTCCCCCCAAACTTAATGATCATTTTATATATTTACTTATACATTTACAAGTTTATCCTCTCACTCTTTCATCTTCTTTCACCCTTTTATATTTATTTATTATTTTTTAATAATATATTATTTGACCGCCCATAATCAATGGTCAAGATCCACCACTGATAAATATTGATATTAGAACTTGAGGAGAAATCCCAACTCTATTGATCATTAGAATTACATAGATGAAAAAAATCATATGGTGAAAGTTAAATGAGATTTCTAATGATTTAGCTTGTAGTGTGAAAATAATTATCTTAATTAGTCATTTAGAAATTTACTTTGGTCCTACATGAATATACCAAATTGAATACCCTTATATTAAGCACTCACCAATGAAAAAAAGACTTTTTATGACGGTTATTTTAGACTTTCTATGTCAATTGTAGAATCGACATAGATTCAGAGCAACATAAAAGATATAATTTTCTATGTCGGTTATTAAATAACCGACATAGTAAAAACTTACTATGTCGATTCTTAACATAACCATCATAAGAAGTTTTGTGTTAAATATTTTTTATATAATCATATTTCTCACAAACATTTTATCAAACGATTTTAATATAACAAATTTTGAAATAAACGCAAGCATTATCTACCTACGAAAACACAATAAAACATAAAGTGTAAATATATTCACTTAAATTAGATGAAAAATTATTCATAAAAGAAAAAAAATTCATAATAATAATTGCAATATAACATATTAGATAACTCCATTAAATCAAATCAAAAAACATAAATTAATATAGAAAATGAGATCATGTTTCCATATTTTACCTTTGTTGTAAATGAGAAAGAAACAAGATTGTGAGAAGTGGTGGTTCAAGCATGAGGAAAACAAAAGTAAATGAATGTAATGAGGAGACAATAAAACAAAATAAAGAAAAAGTTGAATAGAGTTCTTCGTACAAGGAAAAAAAATGAAAAAAATGAGAAAAATAAAAAGGATAAAACGAAGCTGAATATTTTAAATATAGGTACTTTTTATGACGATTCAACTTAAACTGTCATAGTAAAAAAAAATTATATTGGTTCAATTTTGAACCGTCATATTATTACGATGGTTCAATTTTAACCGATATGGAAAGTGTCTCATATTTAAGATTGACAAAGTTATTTTCTATATCGGTTCAAAGTTGAACCAGTCATAATAAGTACTTACTATGAAGGTTCGAATCGAACCAACATAAAAAATGTCTAAATTATAATTTACAAAATACTTATTATAACGGTTCAAAATTGAATCAACATAGAATTTACTTACTATGACGGTTCAATTTTGAATCGACATAAAAAGTCATAAAAAATAAATTTTAATTACAAAATTACCACTATCCAATTTATTATGACGGATGAATTAGAACTGTCATAATAAGTCATCATAAAATACAATTTTTATACTAGTGGCTTGGGGAGTTGTGTGTGATAAGTGCAATATTTTATGTCTAATGTAATGTGTTAATGAGTCTATATGAATATGATTTGATGTGATGTATAAATAGTTGAGAATTGAATTGTATGACAATGAGAATTATGAAAGTGTTTTGTGAATTCTTTATATTAAATGTTATTATGAATTACTAATTTACTATGAACGTTTTATTGTGTATTTAAATTTTGATCATTATATATTTTACATATTATGCAGGTGGTAAGCCTCACAAGAATATGCTTACAACTAATAATAGGATAATTTATTTATTTATTTTATCATACCTTTCATTTTAGAGAAGTGACATATGTATATACTTTTGTACATGGAGGGAGTTTTTTAATGTTCTCATAAAAGTTACATTGAAACATAAAACTAAATTAGTGAAATATATAAATACTTTTAATATTTACATCACAAGTCTAAGTAGTTCAAAAGAATAATCATATTTCCTAAGAATTTATATACATATTTTAAATAATATATATATATATATATATATATATATATAATATAATATAATATAAAACTTCACATGTTTTACTTCGATAAATTGATGTTGGGATTGATGATTTGAAGGGAGTGACCACTTGCAATATCCTATACTCACATGTAACAACACGATCATAGCAATTCAAATAAAACACATCATATAAAACAGAGTAAGCTAGTGATAATTTTTTTTTAATTCATATAATTATCAAAAGTATACAACAAATCAAGTATCTAATATCTTAGAACGAAAGTTACATCTCATATTATCATATATTGACATTTAAAATTACAAAAACTTGGCTCTATTTTGAGAAGATTCACATGCGCTGAATTGGAGTAAAAGATTTGTACTTACATTATCGTAAGTGAATATCTTCAACAAAGATA